GGAGATTGATTGGAATTATATAATTTTACATTTTGATATATTCAGAACCTCTCATTTGGATTTTCATGTGAAAGTGTGGAATTTTGTTTGAATTGATTATTCATAATTTTTTAAGCATGTCATTGCCCGAGCATGTCTTAAATCGAGGAGATGGTAATGTTTGTATTTGTTTCTTGCGAGGAAAAATAGATGACGTGAATGTATTGTGGCTAATGATATCTCTTTGAATTCTTGTCGAGAAAAATCCGTGAGCATTGAGACCGTACATTTATATAAACCCTTTGGCAAGGTAATTCGGTCCTCGATGAAAGGTATAGATAAATTAGGAGGAATCAACAAAATGACACGAGTCTTGACAAGCTATTGAGGATGAGCTGTTGAGTTTTGAGTACAAAGAGATCGAGCAAAAAATTAGTCCCTTTTGGATAGGTAGGATAAATTGGAGTGGTATTCTCGACCTTTAGGTATAAAATTAATCTCAACTCTTGTCGGCGATCAAGTTTGATTTACACAATTTATTGACACATTGAGTCTCTCAACATTCTTTTTTGGAGAAATGTTCATTGTTATGAATATTTTGGGGCGAAGTGTTACTAAGATGGTGGTGTATATGAATATGTTTAGAATTATTATTTGGGTGACTAACAAAATGCTGAAAATGAGGTGTACATGGAGCCTTGAACAAAAATCTGGCATGACTAAGGCCTTTGGGCTGGCCAGTCTCGAGTCATCATGACTAAAGAGATTTTTATTGCGAACAACACATTTGAATTTTTGTTTGGTGCTTTGTTTTACTAGTTGCTTGTATCAACAAAACATGGTTTGGTGTCATTTTTTTGTTGAATTCATGGTTTTCTGAAATTCTGGTCGATTGTACTTGTGAGTGGGTGTTTATATGATTTCATATCGTGGTAGAGAGACTTGTTTGTAGATTGTGGTGTGGTAAAAAAATATGTGGACCAATTTGATAGCTCTCATTTATTCATCTCTTGTTATTATTGCCATCAGAATTACAAATAGGATGATGTGGATAAAATGCAATTAATGGTATTTGTTGAATTCTTGCTAGGGAAAATACATGACCATGTGAAATGGATATTGGCATACACTGCCTGGTTGCGGTGGAGAGTGGACAATAGGAAGTAAGCGACAACACAGGTCTTCATGCACAAACAAGAAAGGGAGGTCGAAAAATATGTTTGATGTTTTTTATGATCATCTCATGCGATGTAATTGTGTATTTGGTGACAGTAATGAAAATGAGCGATTACTATTCTATTTTATGGTGTTTGGTGTGTTTTTTCGACCTCAGTGGCAGGTCAAAGTGTTCAAAGAAAAAAATCTTGGGTGGTCGATCCTAGTGTTTAGTCGTTGAAAATATTAAGGACGTCAGATAGCTCGAATAGGTCGACTGTTTTTACTTGGTTTGGTTTATGGAATTATTTTTTTACCTCAATGGTAGGTCAAGGGAGCCTAAAAATCCACTTTTACTAAGGCCTTCGGGCTGGGTGGTGGATCCTAATGTTGGGTCGTTGAAGACACGGAGCTTATTGGAGACTTCGGAGACAGGTCGATGATTTTTACTTGGTTTTGATGTTGTCGAATTTATTTTTTGACCTCACTGGCAGGTCGATGGAGTTCATTTGGAGTATTTCATGGAGTTTATTTGTAGACCTCGGTGGCAGGTCGATGGTTTTTTACTTGATTTTGGTTCTGTTGAATTTGTTTTTCGACCTCTATGGCAGGTCGATGGAGTTCATTTAGTGTAGTTCAGGGAAATTATCCGAGGAACTCAGCGGGAGATCGATGATTTTTACATGACTCTGTATTGTCGAACTTATTTTTCGACCTCAGTGACATGTCGATGGAGTTCATTGGTGTAATTGACGAAGTTTATTTGCTAACCTCGGTGGCAGGTCGATGGTTTTGACTTGATTCGGTTTTGTCGAATTTATTTTTGGATCTCAGTGGCAGGTCGAAGGAGTTCATTTGGAGCAATTCACGGAGTTTATTTGCAGACCTCGGTGGCAGGTCGATGATTTTTACTTGATTCGGGTTTGTCAAATTATTTTTCAACTTCAGTGGCAGGTCAAGGGAGTTCACATGGAGCAGTTCACGGAGCCGGGTTATTATGTCAATGGTTTTATTTGGTCTGGTTTAGTCGAATTTGATTTTTCGACATGAAGGTGGAGTCAGGATATTCAATTTGCGAGAGGATATACATCAGGGTTGAATTTCAAACTTTGAATTGTGGGGGGACAGGATGAGGTGGTTGAAAAGGTTTATCTTTGAGTGAAATAAAGCTCGAACATGGTGGTCGAAGTACAACAGACGTGAGTCACATTTTTAAATTCAAGACTTCGGGGAGATCGACAAAATCTATCAAAGTATCATGGAAGTCCAAGTAAGCAGGTCGAGAGATATCAAATGAAGGTCGACATTGCAAAATGAAGAGCAAAGGAATCTACTATAGGAATCAAAAATCGACCTAAATATGGCGTCAGGTCATTCGGCTTTCAGTGTTCGACCTTAGTGGTGGGTCACTGGATTTTCGACCTCAGTGATCATTTGGATTTTGGTGTTCGACCACAGTGGTTGGTCACTTGATTTTCGACCTCAATGGTCATTCGGCTTGCAGTGTTCGACCCTAGTGGCGGGTCACTCGATTTTCAACCTCAGTAGTCATTCGACATTCGGTGTTCGACCCTAGTGGCGGGTCACTCGATTTTCGACCTTAGTGGTGATCTGTATTTCATTGTTTGACCCCATTGAGTGGGTTACTCAATTTTTGACTCAGTGGTCATTCGACTTTTGGTGTTCGACCCTAGTGGCGGGTTCCTCGATTTTCGACCTTAGTGATCATTCGACTTTTGGTGTTCGACCCTAGTGGCGGGTTACTCGGTTTCGACCTCAGTGGTCATTTGGTGTTCGATCTTAGAGGCTGGTCATTTGGTTCTCGACCTTAGTGGTAGGTCATTCAGTTTTTGACCTCAGTAGTGGGTATCTAGGTGTTCGACCTCAGGGACAGGTCTTTCTATTTTCGACCTTAGCGGTCATTCGGTGTTCATTTGGGTCCCTGAGCTCATTTGGAGGTTTGATAACTATTTGGTGTTCGAGGATTTACTCAAATTATAATTTCTGTGGTAGGTTGATGGAAACATCCTGAAGAGACATATCACTCTTGGATTGAGTCGTGCTTACTCGACCAGAGTTGGGGGGGAGGAGGGAGGGGAGGGATTAGATGATATGAGATATTATACTAGACTAGCTTTAATGGATAACAAAGAATATATTGAAGAATAAGTCTACATATGGGCTAGGACACATGACATAATGGTATGGGTCAAGCCCAACTTGGGCACTAATGTACACTCCCTCTATAAAAAGAGGGGGCTAATGTATCACAAAACTTAACTCTCTCTACATTGATTACTATACTCTTGAGAATTTAGTTTGGAATGATATTGACTTAAGCATCGAAATTCCGACGCTGGGACCCTCTCGGCGTTGGGATTTTGCAGGTTACGAAGGCCATCCGAGTTGAAGGAGCCCGAGTGAAGTCCATTTCACTACCAAGTTTTAGTTTAACGGAATTAACATATCTTTACTTCTATCTTGTTCGAGCAATGTTTGTTGGCGTTCATTCTACATAAAAAAAATCGTTCACTTTTTTTTTTCAAAAACATGCTTACCCGTTCTTATACCATAAAAATAAGTTGATTTGATCTATAATTAATTCTAATTTTATTTTAATTAACAATCTATAATTATAAATAATAATATATAGTTTTGTATAATTATATTATTATTTTATTATATTTATTGAAGACCGCATCTTCTTTTTTTTTATTACCTTCCTCGCGTATGTATACGACCGAATCCATTCGATTTCTAAAAAAGATTACTAATCCTTAACTTTTCGAGGAATCCTTCATCGGTGGTTATGAATGACTGATTTTTTCAATCTTTTCGACCTTGGTTCCATAGGAGCAAGTCAGAAAGATTGAGAAATTTATTATTTATTATATTTATTGATGATAAATATATAAAATATATAGATTAAATAAATATAAAAGTGGAGTTATAGTTTATAATACTAATAAAAATATAAGAATATAATAATAATAATTATAAAAATAAGTGAGAAATATGTGGGACCCATAAAAAGAGGTTTACAAGGTTTTTTGTTATTGAAAGTTTATGTGAGTAGGAGTAAAAATAAGATGACGTATGTGGTATATTGGAAATAAAGAAATGAGGTTTGTGATTTGTGTTATTAGAGATGCTATATTTGAATGCACCCTCTTATTTAAGACTAAGATTTTTTAAGATTTAAGTTATACAAAATCTTGCTCAAAATCCCACTTCTAGACTTAGAGGGTGTATTCGTTTAGATTTTTGAGTGATATTTTGAGACTTTTTAAGATTTGAGATTTTGGAAGAAATATTCATTTGGAATTTCTAAGAATTTTTAAGATTTTAGAAATTCTGGCGTATTTGAGATTTTAAAGTCTTACAACTTTTTAAGATTTGTTTAGATTTCTAAAAACAAAACCCTTAAACAAAATTTAATTTAAAATCTAACTCCCAAACTTAAAATTTCACATGATTCCTCCAAAATCTAAAAATTTTTAAAGTCTCAAATATAAAAAAACTCAAAATGTAACTCCATTAGAAGTAAAATTTGAAGGAAGGCTTAGTATATGATTTTTTCATTTCAAATTCCAATTCCAATCTTTCTTGAAAAATCTTAACAAATTCTAATCTCGAATTTAAGTATCTCAAGATTCTTTAATATTTTTTTAATAACAATCTCAAACGAATAGGAACGTTTACAAAAAGGAATAGCTCGCTGCTCGTCCCAAAGCCACAAGCATAGCTTGTATTCATACGCATGCGAGCCTACTGTTACACATTCATTCGATATATATATTGTTAATCTCACTCCTGCTCAAAACCCTATATAATTTTTCTCTCTTAAATCTCACTCCCACACGCATATGGAGGACGACGATGACTTCGGAGATCTTTATACAGACGTCCTTCGGCCTCTGATGGCGACGCATCCGCCTCACGCCGACCGAACCGTCGCGGAGACGGCCCCCCAGAGCCACCCGATCGATCCGCCTGTCAACAGCGATGATGAGGAGACTCTCCATGGAGCTGCTGATTTTAAGGATTCGATTTCCAGTTTCATTCCTGATCCGTGTCTAAAATCGAATGCCTCAATTCAAGAAAAAACCCTACCCGAACCGGAGCACCTGTCCGAACTTGGAGGATTCAATTTGAATTTCGGTTCCAATTCGAAGGCTTCCAAGCTTCCTGGCGGTATTGGCTTGAGGTTGGAAGCTACGGTGGAAATACGGGAAACGGGGTCTTCAGGGGGAATTAATTTTATGGAGGACGAAGATGATCTGGACATCGTGGTGGAGGAGAGGGAGTACAAAGACGATGACATGGTCGAGAAAGACGTCAACTCTATGGACAAACAAGAGAAGTTCAGCTCAGCAGGACAAAGGGAAAATAAGGGCATTGTGGCCCAAGGCCCAGGTGGAGAAACGGGCCCTGACCAGATGATTCCGGGGCTGGGCCCCAAGTTTGCAGACGAGTGGGAAAGTGATGACAGTGAAGATGATCTGCAGATAGTTTTGAATGATAGCCACCACGGGCCAATGGGGATGGAGAAGATGCAGGGAATGGACGATGAAGATGATGATGAGGATGGAGATCAGCTGGTAATCGTTGCGGATAATGGTGACATCGGCCACCACCACCAGCCAATGCTCGAGGAGAGAGAGCCGGGAGCTGAGGAAGGGGGGCCAACAGCCGATGGGGAGAGGAAGGAGTCAGGTGATGCCACTAAGGCAGGTGGAGTTCAGCCGAAGATTGGGTACAGCAATCACTTGTATCATCACCACCCATTCCATTCGCAGTTCAAGGTCAGCAATCTTGTTCGATGAGAAACATATTGGATTGTGAGTTGGATACTAAGGTGCAAATTGTAACTGTTTATATAGTGAAAGGTTTTGGGCTGTTAGTGATGCCATGGGTAATTTAGATACAATGTATATGAGTTTCAATTGTGTTTATGGGATATAATAAACTGTATGGGGTTCTATTTTGTTTGTCAATGAAGTTAATTATATTCTTTCAGATTTTGTTTCTTGTTTGAGGTAGGCAATTTAACTAATATCTGTGGATTTCTTCAAAAAAACACCACCTTTGCTGAAGCCCCAACTGGGATCAAGTGGCAGGATAATGGGATCCTTGTAGAAATATTTGCTTAGCTGTTTATGCTAACATTCTGGGCGGACAATTCTTTTACCATACTTAAGGGACAAAGATAACTAAATGAATCAGTAAAGCCTTGGCACAATGACCTGGCATTCTGCATTTTAGCTATTACTCTCTCAATTGATTCAGATAAGTGATAACATAAAAATGTGTCGTGGAGATGAGAACACAAAAGATTTGGTACATTTATGAAGCTTGAGAGATACACATAATGTGGATGTTGCTAGGTGAGCCTGGACATCAGTTGTTTCCATCCAAATAATTTTTGGAATGATTTTAGATGTAATTATAGTAGTGAAAATTCTATGCAATGAGTTTGTTCATATAAAGCCACTTCGTTACCCTAAATTGCTATTAATATTTCAATTTCCTGAAACTTTTTGTCCTTTCGCCGCACGAACTTCTGCTCTCTAACGTTTTATGAAAGGCTAATGCTTAATGGTCTATCACTTGACCCCAAAAGCTAGGTCAAGCTTTGCAACCATAAGTGCAAATTATACATCAAATATCAAGACTATGTATTTGTACAATGTGTCAAAAGTTCTATTACAATGGTTTGATTCTATGTTTGCTTCTATTGGAATGTAATGGAACATATTACAGGAAGATGTAATTAAGACGACATTTTTAAAATCTTTATTTGAATTACGGAACTCTATAAAGAATATATCTTTTCTAATTCAATTGTGAGCCTCTTAGACTGTCATGAAAACTTATTTTAACAAGCAATCTCCAGAAAATTCATTTCAATCTGTATCTTTTTGAATGCGTAATTTTATTCTAAATCATCATACACAGTTCTTGAGGACTGATATGCGACTGTCATTTGTCGAATTTGTTGTGCTGCAGAAGTCTTTAAAGTATCAATGCTTCTGGTTATAGTTATTTGGTAGAGTTGCCTTTCTTCTTGATCATTAACGTTGATTTCCCCCCTTTTCTCTTTCCTCTTTTTGTGTTATTTGGGATTGGGATCTTCTTAGTATGTGAGACCTGGTGCAGCACCATTGCCAGGGGGAATTCAAGGTCTAGTACGTCCACCCGTTACTGTGGGCACTGGAGCTGGACGTGGTAGAGGGGAATGGAGACCAAGAGGCCCTGTCCCCATTCAAAAGGGGCTTCATCCTGGTTATGGCATGCCTGGTTGGGGACCTAATACAGCAGGACGTGGTTATGGAAGTGGATTGGATTTCACTCTTCCATCACATAAGTAAGCTCCTAATTTTTTGCTTGAACATCATTACACGAATTTGGCTACGTACTGTCTGAGGATAGTCTTAGCATCTTGCTAAAAGTTGTAAGTTTTTGCATGAAGGTTGTGTTTCGATCAGCTGATACATTGTAGGTTTGAGCTTGATACTATGGGTTGTTGAAATGATAGTTCTCTCAGTTTTCATTTTAATATCTTTATTTTATATCCTGCTTAATTTAGAAAATTTCATTTGAGTCTGCTTGGTAGTCGAACTAGCTTCATGTTCACTGATTCCACATTTTCTGTACTGATATGGTTCACTAATCACATATTTGTGTCAGTGTTGTTAGATATTTTTCTTGAAGGTGATAAACGTATGATTAAATCTGTTTCTTTTCCTTCTTCTGTGGTTTTCTCCGTGGCCTGGAGACTGGCATATGCTGCTCTTTTATTTTTCTGGGGATAGATGTGTAGTTTGCTTGAATCACGAACAATGGTGTAGATGCCAAACATCTGTATGTTGCCAGTTTATTTTCTTTATCAGAGCAAACAAACACACACATCCTAATGCTTATCAAATGTAGTTTCTTGGATATTCCCATGTCCTGTGGCTAATAAAATCTCCAGGGGGGATCATTTAGATGGAAAATCATCTTTGATATAATCCCTTTGCTTATCGAGTTCTATGTATTTCAAGTGCTGAAAAGCATTTTTCCACACTATACTTTCTCGAGCGATGTGATCTTATTATTCAAAACATCGATGTAGTCGACTTGCACTGTCATCTGTGACAATGTAGTCCAACGGAATATTAATTTGATGCAAAACTTACAATGTAGCTGACTTGCTCTGTAATATGTTGACAATGTAGTCTTACTGGAGATTAATTTTAGTGGTTCAATGTTTTGACAGATATTTTGTCGCTCTTATGATAATTTGTTATTATGTTATTACGTTTATATTTTTAGGACAATTTTTGAAGTTGACATTGATGGGTTTGAAGAAAAACCATGGAGGCTTCAAGAAATTGACATGTCAGACTTTTTCAACTTTGGCTTGAATGAGGAGGGTTGGAAAGATTACTGCAAACAACTGGTACATAAATGTCCTATATCTAGAATGTCTCTCAATTTAGTTATCTGCAGAGTCAAGTGAAGGTGTAATATTTCTTTTCCACTCAACATAGAAGAAGCTAATAAGGGATTTGAAATATCTAGGAACAACTCCGTCTCGAGACAACTATGCAAGGCAAGATCCGTGTCTATGAAAGTGGTAGGATGGAACAGGTAACGTCTTTGGTTTTTATATTTGATTAGTGATTGTAAATTTAGTAGTCATGTCTACATGTGTGGTGCCCATATTGTTGGTCCCTCTTTCATTTTCTTGTTTTCTACTTTCCCATTTCAAACTCAGAAATTATTTGTAATTTTTTTTCACGTTACTCGTCTCAGTTACTCTTTGGTGTCACATTTAGGATCACGATCCAGATCTTCCCCCAGAGCTTGCGGCAGCAGTTGGTAACCAAGAAGTTCCATCCGAGAATGCAAATACTGGGGCGGGAGAAGGATCTGACTTAGCAAGAGCAAGTGCACATGCTCCGCCACCAGTTGTATGTATACTATTCACTCTGAAAGCTATCATTGTGGTAATCATCAAGTGTGTTAATAATGAGAATACTGAGACAATGTAGAAATGGGCAGAAAATTGTGTTTCTCAATGGAGGAAATATTGATGTGGTGAACAACTGTATCTAGTTTCCTTGGCTGTATTTAAATACGTCATGTTAAAGTTGAAGCCTGATTTCCTGGCTTGTTTATCACTGATATTTTCGGGGAAAGCCATTCCCAGGCTTGGGTGTTGATTCGTCATACAGAAAGAAAGTCAAGCATCATTAAGTATGCCTAAAATAGATAAATAGGCTAGGGAAACACAACGATCATTGCTATTAGTTTATGAGAATCTGTGACGTTGGAATTGTTCCCTGTAATTTGTTGTACCACTTTAAGGTTGCTTTGTCTTTAATTTGTGAGTTAAACGTAAAGAACTGTATGAACTCTTCTTGTTTATATTTTTTTCCCGTGTAACCTCTCTTATTTCTGCATTCGCCACTGCATTTTACAGCTAATGTACTTCACATTCGAATAATAGAATACAGGGTGGACTGCAGAAAATATTTGGTGCTTTAATGATGAAATGGAAGCACAATAGATAGTGGGGGTTAACAGTTTAAAAGCAGTCAACATTTGAATACAAAGGGTATATGTTTATAAGAATTCTAATCCCACCTGCTCTCTCTTATTTGGACTGCAGCCTGTTGGCCGGCCAATACCAGTAGAGACTGGCTCTGGTGATCGTCTCCCATCAACTGACACTAGGCGTCCGAGAATGCATGATGTAGATGCTATTATTGAGGTAAGCATTTGCCATGTTCTCTAATTGAGCATTAATGTCTGTGTTTTTTCATGTCAATCGGTGATACTTCAGTGCAACTCTATTTTTATAGTGTTGCCTCTGGTAAACAGATTGTCTGTCAGAGTTCCAATGACGATGACATGGCAGAACAACAAGACAATAATGCTGTTGGAGAGGATATTGGAGGAGTTGACGATATTGATGTTGTTCAAGAGGATGATGCAGGTCATGTTGATCATTCTTCACATGCGTATAAAGAAGGTGAAAACAGAGAAATTATCGTGAGAAAGAAGCAGCTTGTAAGCCGTGATGAGCTAGGAGGCAAGGGTGATCCTCGTGAACAAAGGTATGTGGATGGTTTTTCCTTAATACTTTCACATGGTAAATATTTTATCTTCTCTTCAAATTTACCTTTGAATGCAACCATTGTACACGATCGAAAGAACTCTCAAGTTTATTCGTTTTGCTAATTGCTATATAAGTGACAGTGTGCTAGGGCTTGACATGGCAGTATGGAGTTGGTATTATTGGGAAGATAAGGATTAAAAATTCAAAGACTTGGGGTCAGAATACTGATTGATCCTCAGTTAAGAATGAGCCATAACCCTTGGGGTACAATGCTAATGCCTAACTGTTTGTATTCTATATGACCACATTTAGTGGTGATGCAGAGTGCAGACTTCACACACTCAAATTATTGAATTAATAAAAAGAAAAAGACGACACTGGTCATCAAAACAAGATGATAACAAAGCCAATACAGATATAAAGGACTGCCACTATCTGATTATTTAAATAGGCTGCGTGTAATTGATAAAGGATATCAGGACCCTTGGCCCAATGTTCTGTTTTCCCCTTCCACATCAAATTGTTCCTAGCATATCACCTAGAGAAAATCTAGATCACCACGACTCAAACATGCTGGATTGCATACGTCCTCTCAGATTTAGTGACCGCCCCTCCGTCGTCCATTTTGGCTATAGTTTATAATATTTCTTTTAGTAATTCACATTATCATTGTTGTGAAGCTCCAGGTTTCATCTGCTAATTGCTCCCTTATATGTGCATTTTGTGTGATCACAGGTACACAAAGCGTACCGGGCAGGAAAAATCACCTACCAAGACGAACCCCAGTGATGATGATGGAGAAAAACAGGTAACTGATAATGAGCCATTTGACAGTGAGGATGGAAAACAAAACCTGCTTTTGTCATCTGAAGATGGGGAGCCGGCCGTGGCCATTGAGGATGATGACATGAATGGTGACTCCAGAATGGACGACGAGAGAAGCCTTGATGATGACATGGAGAGAGAAAACTCCAAGTTTGGGGGCAGGGCTAGATCTAGATGCGTGGACCACCGGGAGATCCACGAAGACGAAGTCCTTCAGGACCGGCGACACCATCCTCGCCCAGGTGGCGATATCAAGAGGCGAGCCGAAGAGGAAGAGGACGGCATGCGCGGTAGAGGTCACCGGGAGAGAGAGGATTCCAATCCCTGGGGAGGTGGGACCCGCCGTCATGCGAGGGGCGAGAGTTCGGATCACTGGCGGAAGAGGGACATGGTCGAGAGAGATAACAGCAGTTGGAGGGGGCTGATTCCTGACCGAGATGAGGGACTGAGGCCGAGGGAGAGGGACGATCTCGTAAAGACCCAACATAAAAAAGCGGACGACGCTCACAGCAATAGAAGGAAAGACAGGACGTATGCCGACCGGGGGAGTGGTGCTGGAAAGGAAGAGAAATCCTACAATCATAGTAGAGAAAGCAGCCGTAGGAAGAGAGAAAGAGATGATGCCCATGCAAAGACAAAGGATGACGATACTTATTACGGCAGACAAAAAGAAGCGACAAGGCTGGCCCCAACAGGTGCACGGGCTCCTGAAGACAAAAAGTGGATCGGTCACTCTCGTGGGAAAGACGATTACAAAGGATCCGGGAGAGATTACCACTCGAGAAACGTGGATCGGCATGGGGATCAGCTCAAGAGAAGGGATCGAGTTGAAGATAATAGCTTTTCACGGAGTAGGGGCCGTGAGGATGCTCATGCACGTGGAAGCCGTCAAGGTAGTAAGGATGAAAAGAAGACAGCAAATGAGAGACCTGCGAGCGATGAGCGTGAAGTCAGTGCTTCTGATATTTCTTCTAGGCAGCATGAACATAACAGGCAGAAAGTGGGAAGCCAGAAGGATATGGAATTTGAAAGTGGAGAACATAGTTCCTTGAATCCTTCTGAGAGGAACCACAATGATGGGCATAGCGGCCAGATGAGTGAGATGGTATGTATTACTTTAAGTGACTTTATTTTTGTTAGATTCTGCGACTATGCAAGTTATAACATAAAAATTTTAGCTGAATTTTCATGATACAAATGAGTAATAAGATGCTAGGTGTATCTTTGGTGATATCTGATTATCCAAATGACTAGAGAATGAAGTCTTGGTGGTTTCAGTTTTACTGATTTTCAGTATTATCTTGAAGAATCATGGTTGTATTTGACTTCTGAATATTCTTTTGCTTTTTTTTGGTCTCTCTTTTTCTTAGAGGTGAGGGGTATATATATTGCTAAAAAGATGATGGATACTCCGTTGTAAAAGACCTATGCAGACTCTATATCTCTTAATTGCTCTATTATTCTGTTCGAGATGCTTGATTGTGCAGACTCTACATCTTTTAATAGCTACTATTCTGTTCGAGATGCTTGGTTGTCTAAGTTACCTTGTTAATCGTTAGAACCACCACATTCAGATGTAATTGATCTTTGTTTACGAAACAGATACCAGTCTTACTTAGTAGGATAAACGATAAACAGTCTAAATTAAAGGAGAGTTCATTTTCACTATTGTTTTGGCTTCTTCATTTAGGCCATTCAAAGCCTAATCATGAATCTTTCATTGCTCTGCCGCTCAAGGCTCAACCACTTCAGGGACTTTCTATGATATGTCATCAAGTCACATTGAATAAATAGCGTCATACTCAGATGAAAAAAGCATCATGTGCAGTTATCGCAGTTCTCACACTACGACTTCTTTTTATCAGTACCCTTCCCTATATATACATGTGAAAACTAACTATATGTGCATGTTAAATTTGTTTTTACCTCTTAAAAGTGTTGTCAAAATTTATTATTTCAATTAAGCAATTTGTTCACTTGTCATGCCAATTGAGAAGTTATTGGTCTGGGCGATTTCTTACTACTACCAAATCACTGTAGAAAATTCTAGTATGCAGTTGGGTGTTACAGGGCATGTTGGTGACATTTGTGATTTTATTTTATTTTTCTTTGTTACTCCCGACAGTTTATGCTTTTGATAAGCTAATCACTTACTTTCCAGCTGATGACGTAATGATTAGCTGTTCAGGAAAAAAAAAAAATGTTTATTCTGACCTTGAGGTAGATATACATGACGCATGGAGAATAAATCTTATCAGTTTCTGCTAAATCTAATCTTGCTTTTACTGGCTGATCAGTGAGATTGCTGTTTTGGAAGTGTTTGCTCTTTCTTATGTCCTGCTCTACATGTTCTCATTATTCAGTCAATCCAGAACTTTGGATTTCTCTTATGTGACGTCCCTTTTTCTATTCATGAATTTGGAACCTGGACATTGCTCGGGTTCCAACTTCCAATAATATATATTCATTCAGCTGAGATTTGTTAAAGTGGCCCACGGATACAATGATACCAAGCTGCTCTATAGATATTTTAGTTAAATGCTTATGATTTTGGATTCAATGAATTTATCTTCTTTTCTCCTACTTTTTCTCTGCTGTTAGGTGGACTTGAGAGTCAAAACCGAGCAGTCAAATCCCGAGACCAACCGGCAGCTCTCAAGAAAGGATGGAGAAGAAGCTTCCTCAGACGATGAGCACCGTACGAGGTCCAAAAGGGGACGCTCCAAATTTGAGCGCTGGACTAGCCATCAAGAGAAGGATCTCACTACGACCTCGATTTCGCCATCATCTTCTTTTAGGAACACCAACAAAGACTCGGACACACCAAACAGCGGCTTGGCTTCTTTGAAAATTATGGAAAATAATAAGTCCGAGGCCTTGGCCCACGATAAAGGCGCGAGTGCAAAACCTGTGATTGACGATAGCAGACACATGGACACGGTCGAGAAACTGAAGAAAAGGAGTGAACGTTTTAAACTTCCTATGCCGGGCGGAAAAGAAGCTGTGGCTGTTAAGAAAGTGGAGCGTGAGTCTCTGCCTTCTGCACAAACTGAAATCCAACCGGATTTGGAGATCAAGCCTGAACGCCCGGCCCGTAAAAGGAGATGGGCTGGAAATTAAGATTGTAACATGTCAAGACGTGCCCTACGTTTTATGGGGTTAAAAATTGTACTTTTATTTTCTTTTACTATTTTGTTTCTGTGGAAAACTTGAGAGGTGCATACATATATATATATATATATACACCACCCCTTTGTCAAGTAGCATTGCAGTGGCCATTGATGAGGCTCAACTTCTGCTCGTTCTTATTTCCTTTCTAAGGAAATAGATACTTGTATAAGAGATTGATAATCGAGCGAATGTTGTGTGTTGAGAGTGATGGCCGCCTCAGCAGGATCTGTGCTGCTGCTTGTGTTAAAAGCTATTAGTGATATGCCGTCTTCTTTGTACTACTGCACACAGGAACAAACAAAACACGATTTGCGACTTGTTGCTCACTGATTTAGTGTTGTATTCTTGGCTGGTTTTCAAGTACTACGGGGTGCTTTTTGTGATGAAATTTATTCGGATCGCAAACTGCACGTTTCAGTTATGCGCATTATGGAAGTGTATCCATTCAGTTCAAGTTATACTATCTTCAATAAGGATTCTCATAGATTCTGTAGAATTCTGCTATCCTCATTGATATGAATTTGGAAGGAATTCTGCTGATGTGAATTTACCTGAAATAAAAAAATGAATAATTTTTCCATAAAGTGCCAGCCCAATACCTGAAAATTACATAGTCTTCTTTAAAAATCATTGCAGATCAACAACCTAAAAAGTTATTTCTCTCTTCTGAAAGTTCCCAATTTTCTTTCCTCCAAAACCCTTATTTCTCTTGCCTCTTCACTGTGCCTCCTCCAGCCGGATGCTCCGCACCTCCGCGGAGTCGGCCGCCACAAATCCAAGCTGCGTGCTTCCCATCATGTCGTCGTTCCCGATACCGCCGTGATGCTTCTCCCTATGTTTCGATGGCTATGGCGGGGCTTTGGAGCTAACTTCCAATGACTCGACGACATGGTTGATGTTGCAGCGCCGATCACTGCCTTTGCGACTGTCGGGGTTGAGGCCGATGTAACGCCTCGGTTTTTAAAATGTGAATTTGACATTTTTAAGGGGCATTATCAGAATTTGAAAAATAATTGAACAATAAATCAACATTTGAAATTTCGAAAAAAAATATATCTTATAATTGAACCATAAATCAACATTTGAAATTTTGAAAACATATATATCTTAATATTTATCACTACGCGCTCCGATAATATAACCCATAAACAACTTAGTATTATATTTCGTGTGGTGCCCCGTTCGATGAATAAGACCAATTCAGTTATTTATTTTTCTTGAGTGCACTACATCGACCAAGTCTAATAAGTTCATTCAGATTATTTAGATGTCCTCATCTATTTAATCCAATAAATTAAATAATATATGTAGATGCCCTCGTCTACTTTAATTTTTCAAGTTTTGTTATTTCCTTTGTCAAGCAAAAATTGTTAAAAATTTACACTTTTTGTTTTTTGGGTACAGGGACCTTCCGGTTTCTGAATCCACAGGGGAACCGATTAATCCGGAATCGAACCGGGTAGGACCACAAGGGCGGCAAAGCTCTCCCTCAAGAGTTTTAACACTGCATTCCCAGGGCTCGAACACGAGACCACTGGTTAAGTGGAAAGAGACTCAAGCCATCTCATCCAAACGCTCTTTTGTTAAAAAATTTACACTTTTACGCACCTATAATAACATTTTTTTTTTTTATCAATAAAATCTATTGGACAAAAAAAAAAAA